ATTCTCCTGAATTTCCTTCTGCCCTGCTTATCAAATAATAAATACTGTTTTATTTCCATGTGTACACAAACATATCCACTTATGAGCTAACTGAAAAGGTGGAAAAGAATGAAGAGCTGGGGATCAGTATGTCACTCAATAGTAGAGGTCTGTCCTAGAATGTGTGAGGTCCTGGGTTAAACGCCTGCGTGTCAAAAAGAGTTAAAAATTGACTGTGTTTTTCTTCAATCCAAAGTAATTCCTTCCAGTATTGTCTGTAGGGCTGTCGTGGTGGTCAAAATTCCTTTTGTTTGCTTTATTATGGAAAATGTTTCTTCCCCCCTTGACTATGACAGTCTTACATAGTCTTTCAAAACTCATGGTAACATGGTCCAAAGCCTTTCAGCTTTGAAAATAGCCATTGAAAAATCAGTCATTATTATGATAAGCCTCAGGACTTGATCGTTCTCTCTTGCACCTTTCAATTGTTCTATACATTTAGTGTTTTGACTACTATATGCCATGGATAATTTTTCTAGTGTGTGTGTGTGTGTGTGTGTGTGTGTGTGTGTGTGTGTGTGTGTGTGTGTTTTACTCTATAATAAGAGGACAGTGCCTCCCCCAAGACAACATAGGCTATCAAACAAATGTGACAGGTGTGTTTTACCTCCTTTCAAGTTGTTGGTCAGTGGGATCACTTAGACCACCAAAAAAAAATTACAGTTTTTGCTATTGCTCATAGTAACCTTCCAGACCTGATGATAAGACCCTATTACTGAAGACACCACATACTTGAATCCCAGGATTTGAGAAATGAAATCAAAGTGATACTTACTTGGAAGCCTTACCCCTACTGGCCAGCTTTCATAGCACTGGAAGGTGCCGTACAAACTATCAGAGAAGAAAAGTAACCATTGATCTTATCCAGCTGTCAACTGCATGAGCTACAATAACTGGCCTAGCAAGATATGCCCAATGTGCAATAGTGTTACAAAAGTTACAGCAGTAACCAATCACATTCAGATCTGATTTAAAGCCTCTTCCACAAAATGAACTATAACTGTTAACTGGGCCAGGTTAACTGTTAACTGTGGTGATATTTTGTTTTATGTATTAACAAATAAAATTTTCCTGAAGGTCAGAGAACAGAACAAGCTACTAGATTAAACAGAGTCTAGGCAGTGGTGGCACACACCTTTAATCCCAGAACTTGGGAGGCAGAGATCCATTTGGATCTCTGTGAGTTCAAAGTCACCCCGGGCTACACGGGATTAATCCAGTCTAAAAGGGAAACAAAGCCAGGCAGTGATGCACACACCTTTAATCTCAGTATTTTGGAGTCACATGCCTTTAATCCCAGCACTAGGAAGGTTGAGACAGGAAAATATGGCTGGGTGGAGAAAGGCATATAAGGCAGGAGGAGAAAGGAACAGAGACCCCTTTCGGCTGAGGGCTCAGAGGCATTCAGTCAGGGGATATGTGGAGTTAGCGAGGTGAGAAGTGCCTGTGGCTTGTTCCTTTGTCTCTCTGATCTTTCAGCATTTACCCCAAAATCTCCAGGTTTTTATTAAAAAACAATTTGGGATTCATGCAACAAGAACCAGTGACTGAGTTTACTAGGAAAGCAACTACTACTATTATTCTGCTAAATGGACACAGTATTGAACTCTTCCTAAGCACTTATCTTTGTGCCCATAGGCTATCAAGCCTCACCGGAGAAGCTTCCTTTAGCTGAAAATTAATACAGACTCACAAGTAGAAAGTACAGAGATTAAGAGACAGTGGAATTAGAGCCCGCCCTAAATGGGACATCATTGTCACATTTCCTGCCACAGGGCTCAGAGATGATCATGCTAGAGAGGGCAGATAGATTGTGAGAGCCAGAGATAGTAAGCAGCTATTGTGGAACAGTGTTTCCCAGACATTACAGGCTGGTGCTCACAAGAGCTCACAGAGGCTAACGTGTATGTAAAAGACCTGCACACGACTGAGCCCCACGGAACTCCAGCAGAGATGGGGAGGGCCCTAAGATGTCCCACCCCTAGCTGAGGACCTATAGCTTCTAGGAGAAGGTGAATGAGTTTTGATCAGAGAATCAGCCCTTGATAAACTGCCCATGCTCCCACACGGCCACACCCATGCACATAAGTGGACTCGGTGGGTTTAAAAGAAGAGCACATGGCATTGGGAGGAGAAGTGGAGTGTAAGGGGTGTGAGAGGGACTGGAAGGGAAAGGGAGAAGAGCAAATTTGATCAAAACACTTATGTGCATGTAAGAAAGTCTCAGTAATTAGAAATTTAAAGTGAATGTGATATCTTACGTCTTGATCATTTACATCCTTCCTACTAATGTTTAGTTTACATGGATTTGATTTTGTGTTATCTGACTCTGATATTCTTGCTACGTTCCTGCTTTAAATAAATTCTGATATTTCATTTTAATTCTTCATTTTGTAACTATCAGTTGAATCTCTTGTGGTTTCTCTAGGCATTTAAATATTCAACTTTAACAATATGTAAAGGGTTAACATTGCACCAATTAATATACAGAGTCTTGTGCATAAAAGTTCTGTTCATATCTTTAAGTTTCTAGTCTTTGTTTTTCTGTCATGTAAAGACTGTAAAGCTATGTAAAGACTGTAAAAAACTTTACACTAGAATGTTACATTTTCTGTCTTAAGCAATTTTGTTTAAAAGTCATATGCGTTTTAAATCTCTCTTTCTCTCCTCTCTCTCCTTTCTCTCTCTCTCTCTCTCTCTCTCTCTCTCTCTCTCTCACACACACACACACACACACACACACACACACACACACACACACACACACACGCTTACTTATTTTCCTTTCCTCCCTCTGTGTTATTTCTTCCTGTAGATCTGAGCTTGCTCCTGGTACTATGGCTCATAGTTCACAGTGCATTTCATCTTTCACTGGGAACTCATCTCCAGTTTTGCCTACTAATTTTTAGTCTCGGTAAAGCTTTTGACTAGCGCATGCATGCACGTGTGTATACAGGTTTGTGTGAGTAAGAAGTACTGGAGCAGCCATAAGCATGTTTAGTAAGCAGGAAAGAGAAAGCTGGTTCATTCATGTCCCATTTAGTTGAGTGCTGGGGAAGTTCCGGCTGGGAGGACTAACTCTCCTAGACCAGTATTTCTGAAATGTCTGATCAAGGTGTGAAATGTGCTGTGTAAATAATGGATCCTGCAGTGCCTGGTGTTAAATATGCGAGGAGCAAAAATTTTCCTGAAAATGGGGCAGAATCCGTGAGTCTTTGGGAAAAGTTTCTAGTCATCAACAAGGAAATCACAGAGCTGAAGCTTAACACTCTGGTCAAAGGTCCCTTTCTACAGAAGGTGCTGGATAACTCAACATACAGAATTCTAAATTTATTTTGCTTTGCTTCCCTTCCCAAGAAATTGGGGAAAAAAAAAAAAAAAAAAACAAAAAACAAACAAACCTGAAATCTACCAGAATTCCTTATAGGTCACAAACACTGGGTGTGGTGGCGCATGTCTGTAATCAGAACACTCAGGAGGCTGAGCCAGAAGGATTATGACTTCAAGGCCAGCCTAGGCTACGTAATAAGACCCTATAAAAAGAAGAGCAACGGGGAGCGCCCTGAGTTCTGCCGCCTACCACGGTCGCCGCCACCTCCTCCGGGAGGCTCTCCGTTTAGCGCAGGTCGCTCGCGTCTCCCGGAGGAGCCCGGCCATGGAGGAAGATGCGGGAGCAGGCGTGGCGGGCCTGGCCTCGGAACAGGAGGCAGGCTCCAGCAGGCCAGGCAGTTCCGTCAACCTCACCTCCACGCCTCTGGGAGACCTGCGGTGCATCCCCCACATAGTGAAGCAGCTCAAGAACCGTGGCCTGTTACACAGCTTCTTCCCGAACTGCCCGGCCAATGTGGATACCAAGCCAGAACCTGAAGCAGAAAGTGGATAATTGTGTGTCAACACATCTGGACAAACAGGAATGGAATCCCGCAATGAACAAGAACCGGCTGCGAAGTGAGCTGAGGCAGAGCATAGTTGAGTCGGGCGTTTGGAAGTAGGAGTGGACAGGATCATTTCTCAGGTGGTGGACCCCAAACTAAACCACACCTTCAGGCCACAGATAGAGCGAGCAATCCATCAGTTCCTGGCTGTTCAGCTCCCGCTCCAGAACTCAAAAGCCAGGATCCTCCAGCGCCATCTCAAGACACTTCCTAAGAACAAGCCTGATTGATACCTTTGGAGAACTCCATCTAATAAAGAAATGGATTCCTGGTTCATAAGACTATTAGTCGCTTACTGATGTCAAGATTTTGGCCTTGACTGGGGTGGTGTCCATATGGGGATGGAGAGCAAGTTTGGTGGTGGGACAATTGTTAGTACTCACTCATGCATTGTGGTGCCTTTGACCAGTCTGTCCAAGGGTGTGACCCCAATAGATGCTACAGAGGTTTAATGACTCCATGATCTGGGCTGTCCTAACAAACCTTTATACTTGAACACGGACACTGCCTGTGGATGTTAGGCTTGTGCTCTGCGGTAAGCAGAAGCCAGGCTGGAGGCTAGCGGGTCAGGGCAGCAAAGGCCAATGGGAGCAGCTGTTTGACCATGGGTTTTGGTATTGTTGCTACACTTACAGGCCGGAATGTACAGCAACTAACACCAGCAGCCCTACGGTGGTTGGGGCCTTCTTGTTCTTGGGGATTTTAGTGGTTTCCTTTCCCTTGTCAGAGCTAACTTGGAGCCCTGGATTGAGGTACCTTGGGGTACAAAGAAAGCCCGGTCATCTCTGCCCTGGTCCCCCTAGCCACAGGGGGTGAGTCACTCTGGATGTGGTGATCAGTTCTCATATTTGTGTTTTTACAAAATCAACTGCTAATGAATAGCACATGTTTTATAATAAAATCATTTGATGATTTTCCCCCCTCACCCCATCCTCCCCCAAAAAAGAGGAAGGAGGAGGAAAAGAAGAGGAAATGATGATGATGATGATGATGATGATGATGATGATGATGATATTGGATCCAGAGATAGCTCAGCAGTTATTTCTTTTAAAAGAATTAAAAGAAGTGGCAAAAGACTAAAATATGAGGACAGATAAGGACACTACAGTTATATGAACTGTTGACAGACACTGTGGGGGGGTCGGGGACTGAAAGCATGCCATATTTCCAGTGCTGTTATAGTTAGTATATAGTATTCACAAGCAAGGCCTGATCATCAACCAGTCTCTGGTTTAGTGCACTGTCTTTTCACTTGTCAATACTCACTTTGAAAGGACACCAATAAGAACTACTGGGGTTTGCAAGGTGGCCCGGAGGTGAAGATTCTGTTGTTGTAGAGGACCCCAGTTCTGTTACCAAGCCCCACTGATGACTCACAATCACCTACCCCTCCAGCTTCAGGGAGCCTGGTGTCCTCTTCTGACCTCTGAGGGCACCTTGTACAGTGTGGGGATTGGGGTTTCCTGGGCTGTCTATGCTAATCTGTGGTCATTATTAGAGTTTAGAACATGCACAGACATGGATACTGGATTACGCTCTGCCTATGACTTCTGAAGCCACCCCCTGGCGAAAGCCACTGGCTCTCACCCTGTCCTGGACGTCAGTGATTAATAATGTCTGTGCAGTGGGTATGTAGTAGGGAAACAGAAATATCTCTGTAAAATAGTTTGCTTTCAAACTGCAGGGAAGGGCCTTGAAGCCCAGAACTAGGTCTAAGTAATTACCTTAATGTCAAATCAAGTGAAAGACTGATAAGTGTCGTGGGGTTAGGCTTTGGAGGAAATTCTGTAATCCCACGGATGGCTGTTCTCATCATGCTCTGTCCTCTAACCCAGACAGCGTCACTCTTCTGGGGTCTGACCGTGTGTGTCCTCCACACACATCCCGAATTCTCCTCCATACACATCCTTCTGAAACCTGCAGTCCACTGAGGTGCCTTTCAGAACTCCCTGTTTCTTCCTCATCAACAAGCTTGATTGTTTCAGGCAAGGTGGGAGTCTCAGACAAAGACACAGAGAGAAGCCTGAGTCTACAGAGCAGCCCTAAAAAATGAAGTCTTTCGCTCAGCTCGCCTCTTTTAGGAGGTTGGTAGTAGGACACAGTGCTCCTTCATGGAGATGATGTGGGTGGTGGAGGCAGAGACCACAAAGCACCGGTCAGCATCTGATTCAATGGCGTGTGCAAACTCTGCCCAGGCAGGGCGGGAAAGCCCCAAGACTGCCCACTTCAGGGGAAGCTGGAGTCAGGTGTTGAGAATTCTTTCTATTCCTCAACAAGCAAGCAGCCAGCCTGCCTCTTTCTCTGAGTAGCTGCATAGTGCTTTAGTCCTTGAATTAAATAGGCCTCCACATGTGGCTTCTTTGAAGAGTCACCTTAGTTCCTGTCCCTTCCCTTGGTGAAGGCTAAAGTCAGGGAGGAAATGTGGATGACGACGGTTTACACTATGAAGGCAGTAGACTGTGTTTATTTATTGGCCTATTGTGTGCCAAGCCCAGCTCACCAGGCAAAAATAATAGCGATCATTATAGCCCAATACATTATGTGTCTACCCTGTATGGCTGTGCTAATGGTTTATGTAGTTTTTCTATTTTTCAGGTCTCAACATGACCTTAAGATGTTGTGTGATGGAACAGAGCTTCTAAGGGTTAAAAGCTTGCTTACAAATGAAGACAGTAAAATACCAAAGCCAAAGTTGAGAACCAGTTTGCTTAATTCTAACTTCTGCTCTAAATGTCATTCTAAGCTTCTTCAAAAGTGACAAAGTGGTTTCTGACCTCTGAACAATGTAGTTTCTAGTCCAGTTAGCAACTCAGCAGAATGGAGTCCCAGACAGACAGGCTGAACTATACAAGGAACTCTGAGACCCTTGGGTTTCCACACCACCATCTACTTCCACAGTCTGAAGAGCTCCTCTGTTTTCCGGAGAGCTACTGGAAGGTTTGAATGTCAAGCCGTCCCGTCCCGTGCCCACCCCCCCCCACCCCCCCCACCCCCACCCCCGCTAGCCCACGTGTTTTAACATTTGGTTTTTGGCAGGCAGTGCTGTCTTTGGAGTCTGAGGAGAGTGGGAGGTGGGGGTGGGGTAACCTGGAGGAGGTGTTGCTATGGGAGTTGACCCTGAGGGTCACTCAGAGACCCAACTCTCTGCTTCCTTGATTCTCAGAACAGGGATAACATGCCTCCCTTACTGTGATGGGTATACCTCTTTAAACTAGGAGCCAAAGCAAACGTGTCTTCAGGATGCTTCTGCCAGGTGTCCCACCACACCACAGAGAGGAGAAACCAACTCCAGGAGTTCCTATGTTCTGTAACTTTATGCTCAGCACCTTGCCCTCTGCTCTGCTCTCAAAAGCCCAGACCAAGAGAAATTCCACACACAAAATTCATCCAACCCAGAGAATGAGTCACCTCCTAACGTTAGAAGAGTAAGTTGAGAACTGGAGTCTGAAATCGGTTAGCATTAATGGAAGTTGCTGAGTATGTACCTGTCAATAGCCTGCCTACCTGATAGTGAGAAAGGGATTTTGCACAAACTATATTATAATGTTAGAAAGGCTTAGCAAATGCACATGTGTGCAAATTATAAATATCCAGGTAGGCAGAAGCCAGCCAAGCACATTTCCAAATACATTTAAATAGAGTTATATTGATTAAATCCTTTGGAATTTTCAATTCCATATAAATGTTTGCATTATTACATTCATTCTTTACAGAGCTCTGTATCTTGGGTGCAATATCAAGCTTTAAGGTAGAAATAAAAAACAGTACTGTTTCTGGGCTGGAGAGATGGTTCAGTGGGTAAGAGCATTTGCTGTTCCTTCAGAGGATGAAAGTTCAATTCCAACCACCTACATGGCAGCTCACAACCTTCTGTAACTCCAGTTTCAAGGGATCCAGAGTCTTCCCTGGCCTCCTTGGGCAGCAGGCATGTATGTGGTGCACATCCACAGATGTGGGCAGACCATTCATACATATAAAATAAAATTAAGTTTAAAATTAAAAACCCATGTTGTTCCTTGGGAATTTTGCTTGCTATTTCATTTAACAATAGCATTCAATGAAAATCACTTTTTTTTCTTCTTGTGTTTTAGCCTAATTTATAATATGTTTTCAACTTAGCTCTGGACTTGCACTTTCTTCTCTTCATCAGGCAATTATGTACCTCAAACAATCCTTCTGATAAAGCAGTTGAAACATTGCCTCTGTGTATCCATTTGTATATTTAGAATATTTTAAGTGCATCACTGAGCTGGTACAAAAGCATCCAGTACGCTGAAGCTTAACCAAAGTGATGATAAGATGAGAAGCATGGAACCACAAGGGCTGGTTTTGGCCAAGACTCTACTAAATCATGGTGAAATGGAATGTTTGTTTTGAGGGCTGCAAAATTCATGAAAGTAGATCAAGTTGAAGACATCTCCAGAGTAGAAAGGGAAACTGTGTCCCTCATGTACGCCTGTCCTCTCATCCAGTACAGCTTCCTCTTAGAAGTACAGCAGGTAGACCTCTGCTTGTTTTATTGCGTGTATGAGTGTCTTCCTGCATGTATGTAAGTGTACAACATGCATGCCTGGTCCCCTTGGAGAACAGAAAGGCATCAGATCCAGTGGAACAAGGCTTACAGGTGTCACATGGATGTAGCTGTCACATGGATGCTGCGAACCAAACCCAGGTGCTTCCCAAGAGTGGTATGTTCTCTATTCTCTGGGCCACCTAACAAGCCCCAGAGACATCTCTTTTCGTCTTGGCAGTGGAAACAGGATAAAGAAAAGTCATCTGATGATTTTAGAACTATAACCAGCCCTGTGCATGTTTTTGGTCTAAGTCCAAACCTTCTATAGGGTGAAAAAAATCTCAACATTGAAATTTTAATAAAATGGCATTGTATTTTGGTTCTTACTCCCAGCTTATAAGAAGAAAGCAAAAATATTACTTGAGGTAAATAAAGCTATTTCAGCATGACCTAAACAAATTCTATGGATAACAGAACAAAAAATATTAGGTAAAGGTTAAAAAAATGACAATATGTAGATAAATAAGACAACATGGCTAAGAATTATCAGAAACAATGCTGCAGACATAGCCAGACAAAACTCCCAAATATTAGAATTATCACACACTAGATATAACTTAAAAGATGTTTGATCTGCTTGAACAAATAAGGTCTGAAAATAAAAGCAAGCTATAAGACCACCAAAGCAGAGCTGAAGAAAAATAACTTGAAAATCAACATGACAAAAAGTAAATGGAATTAAACAAATGGAATCAAATAGAAGATGAGGGATGAGGGCTGAAGAGCACTGGCTGACCAGAGGACTAGGTTCAATTCCAGCACTCCCATGGCAACTCATGACCATCTGTGGCTCCAGTCCCAGCATACCTCACAGGACATCAAACATTCACACAGTTCCCCAGATATACATGCAGGCAAAATCCTCACACACATAAAACTGAAAGAAATTAGAAGGTTGGAGAGAGAGAGGCAGGCTGCACAGTGAGTGCAGGTTAGTCATAAAGTCTTTGTTCCCGGAGTTTCCGAAGCATGTGTGAGCGCAGGTTAGTCATAAAGCCTTTGTTCCCGGAGTTTCCAAAGCATGCACAGCTAAACACGAAGACATCGGTAAACTCAGAAGTCACGACTAGAGATCTATCCCATACAGACTGCAATCCCAGAAGGAAACTACAACAAGAATGAGAAAAAAAAATGTGAAGAGATAATTGAGGATTTTCCAGAAGATACCAGCTCTGAGCCAAACATGGCAAGACAATCCACACCACAGAAAGCTCTAGAACGTGGAACACTTCAGGAACGGGTAAGAAGCAGCTAATGAAGAAACCTAAACTTGCCTTTTGTTTCTCATCTCTAAACAACATAGTGAAGCCAGATGTGGTGGTGTGGTCCTGGAATCCCAGGAACGGAGGCAGAAGGATTAGGAATTCAAGACTATCCTCAGCTCAACAGGAAGTTTGAGGTCAGCCTGTGCAATAGAATTGTCTTTTAAAAGAAAAAAATGTAGAAGGGGGAGCTTAGTGGTTACGAATACACACCGTGGTTACAGAGGACCCACATTTGTTAACTCCAGAGGATTTGAACCTCTTCTGGTCTCTGAGGGTACCTGCACACATATGCATGCATGTACACATCTATATGATTAAAAATAAAATAAATTAGCTCTTAGTGGCTCTCAGTAATATTTTCAATAAATGAGTGAATGTATGTAGCAGATCCAAGATGGAAGCTTCTGATGGTAAAATCTGTACACAAACATCACAGTACAGGAATCTCGGCTTCAGGAGAACCCTGCTTCTCTCTTTGGGTGAGATTTTATCTTCTTTCCCCTCCCAGTGGTGGGCACTTGTTATGTTTTGAATGAAAATATTCCACACAGGCTCACATATTTGAACACTGGGATCCTGTTGGTGGCACTGTTTGGGAGGTTATGAAACCTTCAGGAATGAAAATAATGTTTCCTAATTGTCTTAGTTTGGGATTTTATTGCTGTGAAAAGACACCATGACCATGGCAACTCTTAATAAGAAAAATTTAATTAGGGTGACTTGCTCACAGTTTCAGAGGTCCAGTCCATTATCATCATGGCGGGGAGCATGACAGCATGCAGGAGACATGGTACTGGAGTAGCTGAGAGTCCTACATCTTGCAGACAACAGGAAGTGGACTGAGACACTGGGTGGTATCCTGAGCATAGGAAACCTCAAAGCCCACCCCCACAGTGACACACTTCCACTAACAAGGCCACACCCCCTCCAACAAAGCCACACCTCCTGATAGTGCTACTCTCTCTGAGATTATGGGGGACAATCACATTCAACTACCACACTAAGTCTCTTTTTTTGTTATGTCACTGACCAAAAATTTCAGAGATCATATATTTCCAAACACCACATCAAATGGCTCCCGAACTCTGCAGCAGTGGTGTTGTTTTTAGCTGAATCTCAATCATTCAATTTTGCCAATAAAGACTCAGGAGCCAGAAGCTGGGGTGAGAGCCTGCTGGCTCAGAGAGGCAGAGAATGTACCCAACTAACCTTCTGCCTCAGCTGATGTCCCCAAAAAAAACTCCTTTCTCCTACATGTTCTCAAACAAAAAAACCTCAAACTGAATGCCTGTCCCTTCTACTCCTGTATGTCTCTCTATTTGTCCTCCTGACTCCCTCTTACTCTATGTTTTTTTCTCATTAATCCTATGTTCACTTCCTGTCAACTGGCTGCTTGCTCCACCTCTTGACCTATGGTTGACTTCATTTAATCCTGCTTACAATATTCAAGCTGAAAGCCCTTGGATTAAAGGTGTGTGCTAGGGCTGAGCCACACCACAATGAGACACAGGATTTTCCAGTAAACAATGCAATCTTGGGGTTCACAGTGTGATCAAATATCCTGCAACACAGTGATATCCTCTGAAGCAGTGATACAACTAAGGTTGTATTTCACGGTGGCCTTAAGTCTACATGTCTATGGCTTGGGAAGGTCCTAATGTATGCAATTCTTTCTCTGCTGTAAAGGGAGTAATAACTACACATAAGCTTTGATTCAAGGATAAAATCATAATATATGTTGGATGTTTTGTAAGCTTGGGCTTGGAATAGCTATCAGTAGCCAGCTGTCAGACACTCATTCTGTCCTTCATTCCTGTTCCCATCTACTGTCCTCAGCTGTATCCTGGCCTTTCTTATG